ATTGTCACAGAGATGTAAAGTAACTTGCTTAACAGGCAGGGGAGTTATCAAGTTATAAACCGTGATTTTGTGCTGTCCACCCCTAGTTATTTGTAGAGCAGCTAGCTGTTATGTTAGTGAGTTTCTGATAGAGTCTTCAAATCCTTTTATATACTCTCTGGCAACAACTCTCTGTCTTTCTCACCTCTAGCCTCTGATTATGAGATTTTAGGGATATCTGAGGTGTAAGCATTTAGAAAATGATGTAGGCATACCTTGGAGGAGGCTGAGTGAGTTGGGGATTTTTGCTCTTTTGGGGAATTTTCATTCTTTGCTTTTTTTTCTTCCCCTTTAAGTTTCTTGCAGGAGCCTTAAGTTAACTGAGGTGGTAACTATTGCACCTCCCTCTCTCTGCCTATTAGTTGCTCATCTTAGAAAACCTACAGTTAATGTCATATTTAATGGTGAAATACTGAACATTATCCTTGTAAGAGAATAAGATGAGGACAACCACTGTCACTATTCTCACTGTTTAGTCCTTGCAATAAGGGAATAAAAAGAACTAAGAAGCATAGAGATGGGAAAGAATAAAACTATCTCTATTTGCAGACAACGTAATTGTGTACATACAAATTCTAAGGAATCTACAAAGTAACTATCAGTACTAGTAAGTGAATTAAGTAAGGTTGCAGAATTCATGGGTAATATTTTAAAAAATAATTTGTGTTTACATAGTAGTAGCAAAAAGCCAGAAAATGAATTTTAGGAACCAACTCTATTTATAGTAACTACAGAAAAACCCCAAATAACAAAATAACCCCACAGAATACTTAGGAATAAATACAACAAAAGTTGTACAATCCTTCTTTACTAAAAAGATCATAATGCTGAGAAAAATTAAAGAAGTAAATGGAGAGAGATGCCATGTTCATGTACTGGAGGACTCAATTTTTAAAATATTGGTTCTCCCCAAATTGATCTATATTTTCATTGCAGTCCTAACCAAAATTCTATCATCTCTTATAACCCAATACTAAGAATAAAAAGCCCAGATGAATTAAATAGACATTTCACAAAAGAAGATATACAAATGGCTAATAAAGCACATATGAAGATGCTTAACATCATTACTCATCAGGAAATGCAGACTAAAGGTCTAGTGGATATGCAATATGTACATGCAAATGTTCATTGATGCTTTATGACAATTATCCCAGAGTGAGAACAGTGCCATCTTTATATCAGTACTCTGTCACAGTCAAATGGATAAGCAAATTGTGGCATATCTGTGTAATGGAATACTATCCAGCAATAGAAATGAACAGACATCTGATGTATACAACAACATGAGTGAGTCTCAGAATCATGAAGCTGAGTGAAAGAAACCTGAAATGAGTACATAATGTGCGATTCCAATTATATAAAAAGAAAGTGCGCATTAATCTATGGTGACATAAATAAAGCAAATCACTGGTTACCTGGAGCCAGAGGCGCAGGAGAGGAGAGACCTTGAAGGGACATGTGGAATTTTGAGGTGTAATGGAAATTCCTGTATCTTAATTTTAGTGGTGGTGGTTTTATGCACATATAAAATTGTCAAAGCTCATTCAGTTGCATGCTTTTAAATAGATGCGGTTCATTCTATTAATATATAAATCATACCTCAAAGTTGATTAAAAAATAGTGACGGACAAATGCTAGATAGAAAATACATATAGAGTAAACTTTGTTGGTGTGGACCAATTTTAGTTGCTAGTTTCTACTTTCATAACAAAGATATAACAGTCCTATTAAGAATCCAGTAGCTGCCAAATATATTAAGCAAATAAAAGACTTCATTGTTTCTTAAATTCTTTGTAGTAAGAAGGTATGACAGTTGAGTCCATTAGTCTTGTTTCGGTTCTGGAGCTTGGATTTCCTATGTTCCTTCTCGTCTTTCTTCCATTATTCTCTTACAAGCTGTTCTAAACTTATGACCCAGAATTATTGAAGTTAGATCTGTTGATTTGGGAAGTAAAAAACCTTTTGTTTCTAACCTCTGAGTATTAGATTTGTTGATTTGGGAAGTAAAAAACCTTTTGTTACTAACCTCTGAGTAGGTGAGTCTGTGAAAAACTTCTTCAAACTTCTATAACAGTTCAAACTCCTCTAAGCTTAACCCCAGTTTTATAATTTCAAATACGGTTTTAGATCCAGTAAATATAACAAACATCCATGACTTAATTATTAATATATAACATTTAATATTAGTAAAAGTAAATGAAAAAAGAAAAAACCCAACTTTGCCTATATGAGACCTCAAATAGTATTGTAATAATCCTGAGCTGCAAAAATTGTAGTGATATTTTTTTCCATTTTAAAAAAGTTATGGCGTCTTTAGTTATATATGGTTTTAACACAAATTATCAGGTCATTTGCTGGTCATTTTTGCTGTTGCTATAAGCACTTCTGCTATTTAGTTCAAACTCTTCTTTGTTTTCCATTTTCATTTAATCTTTTAAAAATACATTTGTGTGCCTTATCCAGTCATACTTAAAGTTTTTCTTAAGGCTTAGAGAAATAACTTTAGAAAATGTGATTGTCAAATACAGATGTTTAAACATTTGTGATATTTAAGCCTACAAAAGGTTAAAGAAAATAACAAGTCTTGGTCACTGAGTTACTCTTCCTGGCTTTCCTGGCAGGTGAATCAGGTCTTGGGACCTTAGGAAGAATGCTGTGTTAAATTACTGTCCTGATTTAAATTCCCACAGACTTTTTGATGTTTAGTTTCTTTCAGAATTGAGAGTGATAAAAAGTAAAACCATGGCTTTAAAAAGATTCTTTCTTATGGGCATTGCCACCTTAAATTTAAAATAATTTTTAAAATAAAGGCCCTTAACGGAAAGTCAGAGGTGTATACACATGATATTGTTGGGTTTTTGCCATCCACTTGGAACACTGAAGACAATGTTCACCTAATTTCAGAACTGCACTCAAACTCTGGATGTCTTGGCTATGTTGTAACAGGAACTGGTTTAGGAGATTTTGAAGCTTGGACTGGAGCCATGATTTATGAGGAATTTGGTCTGTCTTCTGAGCCATTAAAGACCCTGCCCTGAAAACTGAGTGAGGCAAAAGTAATCCACAGGGTGGTAGGTGGTTGGCAGAAGCAGTGAGAGGGAAAAGGTGAAAATCCCAGATGGCCACCTGAAAGAAGGGGAAGGCAGTTCCGAGGAGTAGACCAGGCTGCAGATCCAGGGCATGGCTTTTATTTAAAGGCTGTGACGGTTACCTGTGTCGCTCCATTTCTCATGTCCACAGGTCACCACCGATACCCAACCACACACACACAAACCCTTGACTAATAGAATGATTGTGGAAATAATTGTTCTCATTAATGGAATATTGTGATTAAATGAAAATTGGTCCCTCTAGGTTGTCAAGCAGGAAAAAAAAAGAAAAAAGGCCAGAAAGTAGTTTTTGTTTGCAGACTTACTGTTCAGAAACGTCCATATTCCTGTATAAATTGATTATAATGACCATTGTTGTCTCTTTCACCCTGAGGCATCATTCTTGTTTGAACATATCTAGGTTATATTCTTCTTGAATGTAGGGATAGTCTTTTTTTTTTTTTTTTTTGTATTTTCATGGCACCTAGTGCATCCTTTGGGACAGGTAAACCCTTGTAGGAAGAATAGTTGTCGTTGTTCAGTGAAATAAATAAATGGGTGGTGGCCTTTTTCTTTTAAGTGAATCTTTGGTGTTAAATTATTTACTGTACCATTGTACATTGAGAATTGAAATACAACATAGTCCTTTGAGATCTGAGGTATGTAAAATTCCAGCTCTTTTGTACACATGGAACTTTACCCTCATACAACATTCTTATGAATTTCTGCCATATGAAGTATTATACACCTGGCCCCATGATCAGAGGTTCATTCACCTTAGGTTTTTAAGTTTCTTTTTAAGTAAATGATCTTTAAAGTTATTAAAATGTGAGAAAGCCATAGCATCTTGTTTTATTTTCTGTATCATATTGAAAGCAAAAACATCAAGTGGTAACTGTATTAAGACTTAAATTGTGTATATTGAGCAGAGAGCAGAAGTTATTTCCAAACATAGGCGCAGGAAGTTTTAAAATGCCTAGTCATCCTTTATCAGCATTAGTGAATGAATTGGCAATTTGCTGAGGTCAGCCAGACCTTTATTTTGAATTATAACAGTAGTATATATTTCCAAGAATGTGGAAAAATTCAGGTGTATGTTACATAGGAATTAAAATTTGGTGTTAACAAATTAATAGAATGTTAGATCTGGAAGTCTGGGGTGTTATATTTTACTTTTTAGGATTGAGAAAAGTTAGAAGGTGCCTGTCGGACATTAGAAGGATGTGTGTGCCATCTTGTCTGGTGGTGGTGCATAGTCCAGTTATTGGTCAAAAATGGATTCTGTTCACTTAGGAATTAGAATTAGGAAACTGAAAAGAACACTATCTGTAGTGCCCATGCTAATGAGAGCCATGGTCGATGCATCTTCATTCCCACAAGTTGGTTGTTTTGGCTGTGTTTATAGTTGCCAACCAACCGTTACTTTTCTTTGGCCAGTTGTCTCACAGGTATGTTTCTAGCTCCCAGATGGATGAGCTGGAGCTCCCTTTTGCCCATAGTAGCTCTGGAAAAGCCATTTAAGAATTTTCTCTGGTTGCTTGGCTCCATGATGTTGTTTCGTATACACTGGAATAGCTGAGTGGGCTGTGTATGGAAGATTTAGCTGACATGGGTTTTGGAATTGTATTAAAAATTCCAAGTTCATTCAGCAACAAGTACCTGTATTAGGCCAGATACTCTACAGAGGTCACCAACTTTTTTGGCACCGGGAACCCATTTCATGGAAGATAGTTTTTTTGTGGTAGGGTGAGTGGTGGGTAGGTGGAGCTCAGGCAGTGATGGGGAGCGGCTGTAAGTACACATGAAGCTTTGCTCACCTGCTGCTCACCTCCTGCTGTGTGGCCTAAGCTTCATGAACGACAGTTTTTCCACAGACTGGGGTGGTGGGTGTGGGGCTAATGTGGGAGGGCTCAGGTGGTAATGGTGGCCAGGTTCCTAACAGGCCACGAACCTGGTGTTGGAGCCGCAGCTCTGTTGTATGCTTGGCATATGGCAGAGGCAAGGTTGTGACATTTAAGTTGAGAACTAAAATGTCAGGTGTTAGCCAGCTGAAAAGTAGATGTCCAGGTGATGGGCACAGGATATGCAAAGGCCCTGAGATCATAGTAGCATAGAGCCTAAGAAACAGGAAGGGAGGGATGGTGAGGTAGGAGAATTGCAAGAGAAGGAGACAGCAGCTTGAGGTAAGCCTGGATTAATAGGTAGAAAACCTGACCACACAGGTCTTGAGGACATGTTAAGGATTTTGAAGTGATTGTAAGTAATTTGGAAGATATTACAGGTATTCAGTAAGATAGGAATCATTTTGATATGGAGAGAATAAATTGGAGGCGATCAAGAGGGACTTGAGAGGTAGGGGGCTTTTGTTAATATTGTTATCATCATTAATAGCTAGTGTTTATTATTTGTTTGCTGTAGGCCAAGAACTGTGCTAAACCCTTTTCCCTCCTCATCTCATGTAAACTCCACAACATCCCAGTGAAGTGGTGTTATCCCTGTTTTATAGACAAGGGAACTGAGATACAGCAAGGTTAAGCAACTTGGCCAAGGTCGTAGGGCTAGTAAGTGGCAGCTGAGGTTTGAACCCGGACAGTGTAACATTGTAAATCCTGAGCTGTTAGCCACTGGGCCCATGGTTTTTAATGCATGAAGTGGTGGGCCATTAGTGAGACTTGGAATTAAATGGATCACAACTGGTATTCTTTTTAAAATTTAAATGGAGTAGTAAATATCCTTATTACATGGAAAGTACTCTGATAAAATATTCATAAGTGAAACTTGATTTCACTTTTTATTTTATGTAACTATGTACATTTGTGAGCTTGTGAGCTGTTACAAAAGGCTAAGCAGCATTTGTCCAGGCAGGAGCTGATGATGGCTGGGGTTAGAACTGTGCCAGTACATATGGGGAGAAGAGGACCTCAGCATTAAGAGGCAGAGGTGGCAGGACTCAGTGAGAGATTGAATGTGGGAGCCCCAGATAGCATCGATTGTGGGGCACGCTGCACTCAGTCCACTTGAGATGGGCTCTTCTTGGAGGGGTTCTTCTTGGTGGCTGTTTTACCACCTGATTCTCTAGTTTCTCCCAGCTGCAGCTCATAGGACCTGGGGTTGGCATCTTGCCCGAGAGCAGCCAGTCTGTAAGCTGGCTGTGAACCCATGAGGTGATCTGTTACTGAAAACTGCCTAAATGGATGTTGAGCCAAGAATAAAGGTTCTCTCTGGAATTGGAGGTGAGTAGTGAGTCAGCTGGTAGCAGGTTGAGAAGCAGCAGGCCTCAAATGCACGTAGGTGGCTACCAGCAGCTCTGGAGTGAAAGTGTAGGAATTGTTTATGCTGGAGTCACCTTGGGATCCAAAGAACCTTTAAGTCCCGGTGTCCAAAGCCCAGAGTACTTCTCTTTCTGAAACTCTTGTCCAATTCTTTTTTTTCTGGCTTTCTGTGGGGCTCATTTCTTCATTCTCAAGCATAAATTTTTAGTAATAGCCAGCTTCCCACGTTACTGTAGTGGGTCTCCATACTGTGCACTCAGCTAACACTAACTGGAGACAGAATGATGGAGTACTTAAAAATACTCAATAGAAATTCCCCTTTGTCTTATTGGTCTTTTGTTCTTGACCAAGATACTTCTTATTGAACCTTGGTTTCCCCATCTGTAAAATTGAGATGTTAGAAGAGCATCCCAGGGTGGTGGTTGTAAGGAGTAGGTGAGATAAACTGTTATCTAGCACTTAGCTCAGGAGCTGGTACAAAATTAGAGCTTAATAAATACTGTTGGTGGTTGATTTTTTTTTTTTAAGGATAGTCTTTGAAGAGACTTAAACATGTATTTATGAACAAAAACTGGGGGAAGGAGCTAGCCTAGCTGGGTATATATGAGAGAGGGTGTTAAGGTTTTGGATCCCAGAGAAGCAAGGATGATCTGGGATCAAGAGAAGATGTTATGGATTATTCTCAACAGAAGAGAACCTGGTGGAGGTGCGAGGAGGGACCTTTTTTTGAGGTTGGGTTCCAGTTTTGGTGGTCTACTGGGAGAGATGCTGATTGAGGAGAAAGGTGGCAAGTTGGAAAGCAATTATGGACAACAGGAGGCAGGGGCATACGAAAGAATTGATAAACAGTGCTGAGATCCTGAGATTGTACACCATAAGTTTATAGTTATACCAGTCTGCATGTTTTCATAGTCCCCCCTCCTGCCCCTGCCCCCCCCCATGTACTGTGTTCAATAGAATGATAGGATGTAAAAGCGAGAGTACTATAATTTTAAGGTTTGCCAGCCAGATGCCAGGAAGGAATAAGGAGGCTGGGGTCTTGGGTACAGGGACATAGGAGGGCAGGTGGTCAGTGGTGAAGTCTGGCTTGGCTGGGCAGGCCAGTGTGCCTTGGACAGGGTATACAGTCTTGGATAAAGAAGACAGCAGTGGTCTGTGTGGTGCCATCTACAGAAGATATGTAATTTCTTTGAATGATGTTTTTCCTTATTGTCCCTAACATTAATTCCTTGTGTTGATAACTGAAATATTAGTATCAATTGCTAAAAGGAATTTACTGCTCTTTTGTATGGGCATAGCCCAAAAGTTTAATTAGTTCTAGTTTTAATTTTGAAGTTAACCAGTGATTTCATGTGGTATGCTAAATCAGTAAATAACAAATTGTGATGCTTAACCTTAGGTAAATTTTAACCACATGATGAGAGATTTTATTTTCATCCACTGTTTTTTAACATTTCAATTATGTTGAGGACTTTAAAAATAAACACTAAGAAGCAGAGGATTTTTAGATGCATTTCATGTGTTTGAAACTAAGCCTATTTTTGAGGCGAAATTCACTGGTGATTCGGGCCTGGTCTGTCTGAACTTTAGTAGTCCTTGTTTCTCCTTTCATTTTTGTTTGGAGGGTACTTACTGGATCTGAAAACGGTGACATTTACTCATTCACTGACCATTTGAGGGGCTCCCATGTTTCAGGCAGTGAGTAAAGTGTCAGCAGAGCCGAGGTGAATGGTGCAGGGATGGATGATGCCCTGAGGAGCTCATCATCCTCTGTCCATGTGGTCGCCACGGTGGGATCCGCATACTTGGGGTGCTGACCACAAGAATTGGGGTGTCGGAAGAAAATATTAGAACTTCTCTTTTAACCTCTTTCAACTTCTCTGTGTCTCAGAACATATATATCAGAATAGTAGTACATGTATGAAGAAAACAGATAAATGTACATGTACTGGGGGTGCCTGCCCCCCCCCTGCCAGTAGTGTGTATGTGATCAAAAAAATGTTTGGAGGCATGTTAATATGTATTTTTAAAAATGTGAATTTTTAGTAACTTTCTCTTATGTTTTAACATTTTGGGAAAACCAAATGTTTCTACTTATGTTAAACCATGCTCTGAAGGAGGAAGTATTACAGTTTTACTTGTTGCCTATATTTGTAGCGTAAAGTAAGACTTAATGTATAAAAAGACTCGTTACCAAGATCTGGACTGACAAATTTGAGTCATTTTCTTCTTTGTGTTGGAGGAACTTTACCTTTTGTAGAATGGTGTCCCTTATTATAAAGTGCTAAACCCACCCACTGTCTGTCAGATGTTGGGGAATGGGGCAAGGAGATTCTGGAATGCCACATGCCTGTTCTACTCCTCCCCCCAACACTGTCTTAAAGCAACAGGGTTGAGATGCCACCTAGAAATTTCCTGGCCTCATCTATTCGCTCATAGTGTTCTCTTAGTGTGAAATGTCTCACTTTCAGAGAGCCATGAAATACTTGGTTGAGAAAGTTCTTCTCTCCCTCACCCCAAGAAACTTTCCCCAAAATTAGAAAAACAGCTGTCTAGAATCTATTTAAATGAGGTGAATAAATGCTTTTAGGTTGTTCCTCTGGAAGATTTTATTTTCACTTTTATTTCAGCAATGAGTATGTATTTTAATTTATATTCCACAATCTGGCATTTTAAAAAACATTTTAAAACAAAATTTTATTGAAGCGAAATGTTGCATGTGTCTTTGCAGGTTGATGACAGTTAGAAGCATGCTTTCCACTGAACTTCCTTGGATACCATTTGTTACTCAGAATGTCTCTGAGTGAGAACTCGGTTTTTGCCTATGAGTCTTCGGTGCACAGCACCAACGTCTTGCTCAGCCTCAATGACCAGAGGAAGAAGGACGTGCTGTGCGACGTCACCGTCTTCGTGGAGGGTCAGCGATTCCGCGCCCACCGGTCCGTGCTGGCCGCATGCAGCAGCTACTTCCACTCGAGAATCGTAGGCCAGGCCGACGCGGAGCTTAACATCACTCTGCCAGAAGAGGTGAGAGGGCCGTGTGTAATTTAATGATTGTAATTTAATTTTACTTAACTAAGTTTCTTACGGTTTATAAAGTTAAAACTAAAGTACAGTATCCTTTAGTTGGGTGGCTCAGTAGTCTTTTACAGGTCCTGTAGCACCCCATTTCCTTGTAAGATCATTCATTTTCTAAAATCATTAATTTTGGGTATTAGTTAAAAATATTTATTGAGCAGTTGAATAACTTGACCCACTTATGTTATTTTTGATAAAATGACCAAATGAGGGCACACACAGTGCATTATAGACATTTGCGGAAAGGTCACGGCTTGGAGAGGCCATGTGTGACATTCTCTCCCTGTGGACCTTTTCCTGTGATTGCCAACTGTACCCAATTTTAGTATTCTATAAAATGTCCATTTCTACAAGACATTCCCCATGAAAAGTAGATGCTCCATAAGTGTAATTTTTTTTCCTCCCCATTCTTCTTTTTTTGAGATTGTCTTTATGTATTGTAGAAAAAAGAAATGGTTTTGTGTCTTATTTGTAGAACTTTAGTTTCACGTACTGTTTTCTACTGGCATGTTCATAAGTATTTGTGTCTTTGTTAATGTCCTGCCTCTGAGAGACTTCTGTCTCTGGGGCAGAGGCATGATGGTTACACTGACTCTTACTAAAGCAACTTGCTTTATTTAGTTGGTAGCTGCTCCTAGCAGAATATCAAGGCTTTGATATTGAGACACAATAGAAGTTGTTAAGAGGAATGTGGAGTAAGTATTTAGAACTTCTTTGTGTACGACAGGCCCACAGGTTGGTCTGTGTAGGATGTGCCCTGTTGGATACAGCTGAATAAACTGTGCCTACAGTTTAGCTACATAGCTGGCTATGCATATTTCTATGAAATTGTAGCTACAGTTTTGGGACCAGATAGGTTGTCTTTTCTGTGGCAGAAGTCAGAGTGAATGGTTCAATATCGAAAAAATGGCAAAAAAAAAAGGCCAACCTATAGAGTAGGTTGACCTTGCTTTAAATAAGAAATAGCATATCATAATGGAGATATGTTTATTATGGTTCATATTTTCAAATAATTTCATGAGACTTTCCAAGTAAAGCAAAATTTGAGTCATGGCTTTGGTATGAAAGGTGTGTGCCTGTATCTAGACATGCATATATCTAGTCATTCATTCTAATTTGAATTGTAAATCATCAGTTTTCAAATATTTGAAGTGTTTCATCACAGTGACTGATTGAAAATATTGTGTAACTTACTGTCTAAAGGCCTTTTTAAGATATTTTAACTTACTTTAAAAATTTTTTGTTTGAAAATTTTATTGAGATAATTGTAAATTCACATACAGCTATAAGAAATAATGTGGAGAATTCCCTTTTACACTTTGCCTGATGTCCCCTGATAGTAACATTTTGCAAAATCACAGTATAATATTACAACCAGGGTATTGAAGTTGATACAGTCCACCTATAGTATTGAGATTGCCTCAGTTTTACTTGTACTAATCTCTGTGTGTGTAAATTCTATACAGTTTCATCCCGTGAAGGTTTGTGTATCCATCACCCATTAAGCTACTGAACAGCACTAACATGGAAAGATCCCTTGTGTTGTACTTTTATAACCACACCCTCCTCCTTCCCATCCTCCATCCCTTATACCCTTACTCTCTTCTCTCCCTAACCTCTGATCTGTCCTCCTTTTGTAAAGTTTTGTCATTTCAAAAAATGTTATTTAAATGGGATCATACAATATGTGACTTTTTGGGATTGACTTTTTTCCACTCTGCTGAGATTGTCCAAATTGTGTGTATCAGTAGTTTCTTTTTATTGCTGAGTATATTTCATATTACCAGTTGTTTTTTTTTTTTTTTTAAACTTTCACCTATTGAAGGAAATCAGGCTAACACTAGTTTTGGTCTATTACAAATAAAGTTGCTGTGAACATTTGTATGCAGGTTTTTATGTGAACATGAGTTTTTATTTGTCTGGGTTAAAAGACCAAGAGTGCAATTGCTTTTACGTTCTTACTGCCAATGTGTGAGTGATCCAGCTTCTCTTTGTTCTTACCAGCATTTGGTGGTGTCACTGTTTTTTATTTTAGCTATTTAAAATACTCATAGCTGTGCATGGTTGTTTTTTTTTTTTGGAGACAGTGTCACACTGTTGCCCGGGCTAGAGTGCTGTGGCGTCAGCCTAGCTCACAGCAACCTCAAACTCCTGGGCTTAAGAGATCCTCCTGCCTTAGCTTCAAGAGTAGCAGGAACTACAGGCACACGCCACCACACCTGGCTAATTTTTTTTATTTTTAGTAGAGATGGGGTCTCACTGTTGCTCAGGCTGGTCTCCAACTCCTGACCTCAAGCAATCCTCCCGCTTTGGCTGAGCATGTATTCAGTGTCACAAATGTTAATAATATCTTGATCACTCTTATAGGAATTCAGTGAATTAAAATTAGTTTTGTGTTTTTAACCCAGTATGAGGCTTTCTCTGTACTTCAGCAGGTTCCATTTGCCCCTCAGTTTTCAGAGGCAGGTTCAATGCAAATAGATGTTTCTGCTTAAAGATTTTATTACCCAGAGTCCATGAATTTTTGCTGAACAGCAATGAGGCATGAGTTTTAACACTTCACTTAGATCGCTTTTTAAAACCTGAATCTTAATATTGTATTATTGGAAATCTTTGGCACGAGCTATAATAATTACCATTTACTGTGCATTTACCATGGGTTAGGACTTCTTTGTAAGTGCTTTATGTGTATTGTTTTTTATCCTTAAAAAGTCTTTTGTGCTTTGTAGCAGTTGGAATTGCTGAGCTGGGCTAGTAACAGATACCTGGTAGCTTACTATGTGTGTAGCAGGTGGTGACCATCCTGCTGTATTTCATAGATGATTTATTTCTGCTAACATGGGAACACTGTGGTAATGTCTTATGTGAGTAAACCATAATTCATGTACAATTAAGAGCGGAATCTATAAAGTAGAGGGTTTCCAGTAAACATGGTGTGATAAGCATGCTTTTGCAGGCTCCCTTAATTTTACATTGCCTAGAAGAATATTTTTTCTTATCAAATAAAAATATATATTTTATAATTGTCACAAGTAATTTATACATCTCTCTCTTCCCCTTTACTTCTCTTCTTTTTACCTCCTACATGGCTTTCAAATGATGTGTTTGCTTTTATTTTGTATATTAACAGGTGACAGTTAAAGGATTTGAACCTTTAATTCAGTTTGCCTACACTGCTAAACTGATTTTAAGTAAAGACAATGTGGATGAAGTGTGCAAGTGTGTGGAATTTTTAAGTGTGCATAATATTGAGGAATCCTGCTTTCAGTTTCTCAAATTTAAGTTTTTGGACTCCACTGCAGACCAGCGAGAATGCCCAAGAAAAAAATGCTTTCCATCACACTGTCAGAAAACGGACCTTAAATTTTCACTTTTGGACCAGAAGGATCTAGAAATTGATGAAGTGGAGGAATTTCTGGAAAATAAAAATGTTCAGACTCCTCAGTGTAAACTCCGCAGGCCTCAAGGAAATGCAAAAGCATCACCGCCTCTACAGGACAGTGCCAGTCAAACGTACGAATCCATGTGCTTAGAAAGGGACGCTGCTCTCGCTTTGCCATCTTTATGCCCCAAATACAGGAAATTCCAGAAAGCATTTGGAACTGACAGAGTCCGCACTGTAGAATCCACTGTCAAAGACACTCATGCTTCTGTGCAGCCAAATGAGACATCTGAAAGTGAATGCCTGGGAGGGGCCCAGGAGTGTGCAGATTTGCAGGTGGTTTTAAAATGTGAAGAAAGTAAATTGGCAATGGAACCTGAAGAAACAAAGAAGAAAGATCCTGCTTCTCATGGCCCAACTGAAAAAACAGAAGTGACTCCTTTCCCTTACAGTTCTTCCTCAGACCCTCACGGACTGTATTCTCTGTCTCTTTTACACACATACGACCAGTATGGTGACTTGAATTTTACTGGTATGCAAAGCACAGCAGTGTTAACAGAAAAGCCTTTGTCAGGTCCAGATGTTCAAGAAGATAAAACGTTTGGCGAAAGTCAAGGTTTACATCTGAAATCTGACTCGGGCCCCAGGGAAGATAGTAGCCTTGCCTCAAGCGATCGGAGCAGTGTGGAACGAGAAGTGGCAGAACACCTCGCGAAAGGCTTCTGGAGTGACATTTGCAGCACGGACTCCCCTTGTCAAACACAGTTGTCACCTGCCGTGGCCAAAGATGGCTCAGAACAGGTCTACTCACAGAAACGGTCTGAGTGTCCCTGGTTGGGGATCAGGATCAGTGAGAGCCCAGAACCAGGTCAGAGGACTTTTACAACACTGAGTTCTGTCAACTGCCCTTTTATAAGTACTCTGAGTACCGAAGGCTGTTCAAGCAATTTGGAAATTGGAAACGATGATTATGTTTCGGAACCCCAGCAGGAGCCTTGTCCGTATGCTTGTGTCATTAGCTTGGGAGATGACTCGGAGACGGACACAGAAGGAGACAGTGAGTCCTGTTCAGCCAGAGAACAAGAATGTGAGGTGAGCAGGAGCATGTTCTTAATTTATTGTTTTCACAACCGCTAATTGGGATTTACTCTGGGTCAGCTCCCATTGTATCACTAGGGCTATGAGCAGGCCCAGGGAGGGAGGAGGAAACTCATACGCAGTTAATTACAAGACTGCGTGATAAATACCAAAAGAGAGAGATGAAATTTTAAGCACTTATGTGTTTATATATTTTAATATTTGTATCAACCATGGAGTATCAACACAACATTGGCTGTGTTCGCACATGGGCTGTTTAACTGTTTAAATCAAATGCCATGTCCCAGGAGAAAAAAGAATAATGATTCTGTGGTCATTACATGATAACTCCTTGAAAAATGCAGCATCTATTCAGTTCATTGACGCAAGGATCTCTAGACCTGGAACTAGTCACTGAGCAGTGGTTTAGCAGTGACTAGTTGTAGGAATGTGGTATGATACTAATCATATCAGGCTTGATCTGTGTACTCTGTGTATAAAAGTTTATATTTGATAAGCTGCTGTTTATAGAATATTACTATAAATCCAGTAATAATAGGGTTCTGTTATTTTAAATACAATTTAAAACAATTTTTTCGTAGTATGATTTTGTTTACTTTTCAAAGGTTGAATTTTTAGAGTTATAGTTTACACTTTCTTTTTATAAATTACTTTTCTATTTTACCCATTGCATTTTTGTCTTTTCTTGGGATTTATTTTATCTTGTATAAGAACACTTAATATGAGATCTACCCTCATAACAAATTTTTAAGTGTACAATATAGTGTTGTTAAATATAAGCACAATGATGTACAGCAGATCTTTAGAGCTTACTCATCTTGTGTAACTGAAACTTCACCCATTGGATAGCAATTCCACATTTTCCCCTCTGCCCAGCCCCTGGCAACTACTTTTCTACTCCCTGTTTCTATGATTTTGACTATTTTAGATACTTTGTGTAAGTGGAACTATGTAGGATTTACTCTTCTGTGTTTGGCCTATGTCACTTAGCATAATGTCATTCAAGTTCATTGATATTGTAGCAAATGGCAGGATTTCTTCCTTTTTATAAGGCTCAATAGTATTTGTTTATATATCCACCACAATTTCTTTATCCATTCATCCTTCTCAGGGACATTAGATTGTTTCTATAGTTTGGCTTTTGTGAATAGTGCTGCAGTGAATATAGGAGTGCAGATGTCCCTTTGAGATCTTTATTTCAATTTTTTTGGATAAATAGGAGTGAGATTGCTGGATCATATGGTGGTTACATTTTATTTTTTTGAGGAACTTCATACTATTTTTCATAGCAGCTATACCATTTTCCCATCAACAGTATGCAAAGATTCCAGTTTGTCCACATCCTGTTTTTGAGCATTTTCTTTGGTTTTGTATCTGTTAGATGACACAGTTTTGAAGGAGCTTTTTTCCCCTTTAGCTTTGGAAGGAGGTGGATTGGCGATTTAATTTAAGAACTGATATGTATATGTGGTTATATCTATAGATTTTTATGACATTTATAAATGTAGCTTTGGAATTACTATGAAAAGAATGTTAAAAATAAAACATTTTTAAATTTAAAACATTTCGTGTAATTCCTGTAAGCTTGAAAGGCAAGCTAAGTAGGTTGCCAGGCTGAGTAGTGTTTCCTTTGCATTTTTTGATAATATAATTAAACTTCTGTAATTATATTATTTATAAAAAAGTTATCTTCTCCTTTTCCCAAATATAAGTGTGTTGAAAATGACTTTAAAATATTCATAAGACTTTTCTAACCTTTTCTGCATTGACAAGTGAAATGTGTCGCTTTTAAAATGAGTTATGTGATACTACCATTTTTTGACAGAAAAATAAATTTTCTGAAATGCCATAGAAATTATTAGCATAATTATACCAGTATTAAATCAGTGCTGCATAGTAATGTTCAAAGAATAAAATAGATTTTACTTTTAGGTTGTAAAAACACCTGTGAGGTATTAACATGCAATAGTAAAATAACTTAAATTCGGTCTTTCCATTTTAAATGTTAATGCTTGTGTTAATATGTTTGATTTGCTAAAAAATATCTGCTTAATTATCTTCTGAAATAGACCAGAAATATTAAGTATATTATCAGTTTTTATTATAATTATATATAATTTAATATAATGTTTATATAATTATAATCAATTATAAATAACTGATTTATTATAAATCAGTTTTATTATAATGGTTTTAATATAATGTATAGAAATTGGGAATAGAGGCTTTTTTTTAATGTAAAATTCTGTGAAAAGCTTAGACATACATCTTCATCTTCTTAGATTTAAAGTATAATTACAAAAGTATAATTACAGCAATAATTACTAATGTTTATTTTACATTCTAGGTAAAACTACCATTCAATGCACAACGGATAATTTCACTCTCTCGAAATGATTTTCAGTCCTTATTGAAAATGCACAAGCTGACTCCGGAACAACTGGATTGTATCCATGATATTCGAAGAAGAAGTAAAAACAGAATTGCTGCACAGCGCTGTCGCAAGAGAAAACTTGACTGCATACAGAACCTTGAATCAGAAATAGAGAAACTGGTAAGTGGGCAAGTTTCTTGTTATTTAAATTCTACCACTCTCTTATAGAGGAAATAACTATTTAAATTCGTAGATCAGATATAATGCTCAATTACATATTAATTTTAATATGTATCAATTACCAAGTTAAGAAAAATTACATGGCATTTTCAGAAAGATTAGGAAATAGAAAAGTAGTATTTTCATAGACAAATTTTACTTATGTAAGTATTTAACATTTTTAGCATGGCATACAATGATATATAACTTGAACTACTTCTGGGTGCTTTTTAAAAAAGATTTTCAAATTAAGGATTTTACTATCTCCCTAATCCTTAGTGGTTGAGTAAAGGTTTAAGAAATTATAAATCACTTTAATTTCTCTGTGATATATTTGGTGTCTATAAATGCTAGTATTCTAGATGTTAGTTTAAATCAACTGAAGACTTGAGTAACTCACTTTGGCTGAGACCAGAACAAACACATCAGCCAGGATCTTTCCTAAGGGAAAAAATTTCTGATAAGATATGGTGATATAAACTGAAAATTTTAATATCTCATGAGATCCTGAGGGAGAATCATGCCTGCTTATTGAATCTTATTTTCTATTCCAGCATTAAAACACAAATTAACTGAAAAATGGATTAGTTTACTCCCCCGTTTCTCTTTTCCCCTGGTGGTTGGTGCAAGGAAGCATTGCATGGAAAAGGCCAGCCGTGACAGTGCAGGCCTGGCCGAGGGTGAAATAGGGTTAAAGACAGCAGGGCAGCAGCCTAGGAGTACTGACAGCATTCCTTGAGTATTCAGTTTTATGTCTTTGATAATTAGTGGGGAAAGTTTAAAGTTGTGATTGTAGCAAATTTTCAAGCACGAACATTCTTGCTACAAATGGCGGTTAAACAGCAACAATTTAGAAAAACTTGTGCATTTTTATGCCTTCAAGAAAAGCTGAAATATAACAATGTATTATTTACATAATGTGCATATACTTTATGTAAAAAGATGAAATGTAACCATAAAAAGATGGAGAAACCAGATGATTTACAAATGGAGGCATGAGAGCTATAAAAAAAAATCTGTATGATATTGATGAATAATTAAAGTTGTTAGAACTAAAAAGGAAAAGTTATGATTTCCATAGTATTTACTCAGTGCTTTTGGAGCATACTTTTACGCACTGGTGTTCTTTCTTATCATCCAGCTTTGAATTAAACACTTACCTGCCTTCAGACAGAGCATGGCATTTGAGCTTCAGTTATTGTTCTGTACAGTAACACAGAGATGCTTTTTCGACTGTGGGGTTATGTGAAGCTATTTGAAGTCTATAGAAAATTGTACTACTTGAGTTCTTAGTTCTGCTTCTAATAGTTCAGTCTTCCCCCCTCAACTAGTTGTCATTTATAGCTGTCAGAGTTTATCCAGTTCTGTTACTATCCTAAAAGATAACAAAAATAAAAATGAAACAAGGCTTTCATTAGTAATTTACTTTATAAATAGATACCAAACAAATACATTTGAGAGTAGCTGTTACCCTTTAGAACTACGTTATTTCCTGCTTCAAACAGTTTATTTATATTTTTTGGTTGAAGTCAGACATTGGATTGCTGGATTATTGACATTTTTATTAAATTTCAGATATCTAGGCTGAAAGGCCTTGCTAACTTTCTTTGGGCTCTCTGACCCCTCTCCCTTTGCATTATAAGAGAGGAGTGGCAGAGACTGTAAAATTGTGGGCTTCTAAATCAGACATATAGTAACTTTGGGCAGCCTATTTAATTTCTCTGTGACTCAGTTTTCTCACCTGAAAAAAAATGAGATACTGTTAGTTCCTATTTTATGGAGTACGTGCTCATTTTGAAGATTAAGTGAGTTAATACATCTAAAGAACTTAGAACAGTGCCTAGCACCATAGTAAATACTCAATAAAAATTGCATGTTTTTTA